TGTGGGGAGAAAGGAACCCTCCTCCATTGTTGGTGGGAGTGCAGACTAGTGCAACCACTATGGAAATCAATATGGAGATACCTCAAAGAGCTTGGACTGGAGGTTCCATTTGACCCAGCCATCCCTCTGCTGGGTATCTTTCCAAGAGAACTAAAAGAATCATATCACAGAGAAAATTCTTTTGATGTATTTCCCCAGGGGAGAAAACACCTCTCCTAATACAAGGTTTAGAAGTGTGACTTTGTTTTATTTCTGAGCCCTTGGTCAGTTTAAGCATTTCCTCTTTGAAGGAGGGCAGGGGCTATCTGCGTGCTCAGAGTGGAGAAATATGTACTTTCCTTTTACTATTGGTTGATCACATGCTTAGCTTCTTTAGTAATCCACTTTTGTGGGCCTTGTAAATTTCAATTTACATTTTATACTAAAACAAAAGTCTACCAGAAGACAGGGAACTATAGCTAGTAAGGTAGATCTTTTGGCCAGGGCAGAAGTAGCCATTTCATAGCCTTTACTTACAATTGTCATCATCCGTGCAGCAAAACTGGTAGGATCATCATTCAGCCCTTTCACCACACCTTATGCCTTGTGTGTTACTCAAGTATCCACCCTGTAGGACCCTGGCCTTGGAAGTAAGTGCTGCAGTGATGTGAACCAGCAGCTTCCACATTAGGGAAATTCGAAGTAGGCCAGCCCCATGGCTTCTGAGTGCCTTTGTGTGCATAGAATTCTTTGACTCCAGTATCCACAGAGCCCAGCGTACTGCCGTGTTCTCCCACAGAGTCTGAGCTGGTACAACAGCTTGAGTGGTGTAGGAATACTCACGAACAGCCCAGCTCATGCTAGAATGGCTGCAAGTGAGAAAGCAGAGTAGTAACTACCTGCTAAACTTCAGTTAGTGGTGACGAGGCAAGTGCAGCATTAGAAATATTTCAGTGGAAATCAGGACAGGTAGGGTCATGTTTGCACCCTTTTAATACATTTATTTGAAAATACTTACATGTTCTAACTTCCCATTTTTTGCTTTGTTTCAGATTTATATCAGAAATGCTTGAAAAGAAAGTAAGTGAGATCATTGGGAGTTTGCTTTGCATTGCCATTTATTAGTGGTAGGATCCATTATTAAGTTCATAGAGATGACTTCATGTGCCTAAAGTTTATTCTATGCCTGAGGAAGTATTTTCCTACAACCTTAAATTGTCATCGTGGACCCAGGAACTCATCTCAGTGAAGTCAGGCATTTAAATTTAAAAATATTGAATTGACAAATAACTATTATAAATACTCAGTGTGTATAAGAGGAAGAATTGATACATATTTTGTTGTGTAATGATGATCACAGTTCACACCAAACTGCACAGAAGATACTAGAATCTTTTCATTATATAACTGATGTTTTATATCCTTTGACCAATATCTCCCCATATAATTGAGAAATCTGACTTCTGGGCATCTATCCAAGGAAAAAAAAATCAGTTTTTTTGTTTGTTTGTTTTTTTTTTTGAGACAGAGTCTTTCTATGTAGTTGAGACTGACCTGGAACTTACTATTTAGCCCAGGTTGGTGTCGAACTCATAGTGATCCTCCTGCCTCAGCCTCCCGAGTGTTGGGATTACAGGCGTGCGCCACCATGCCTGGCCCCAAAAATCAGTATCTTAAAGTGATATCTGTGCTTATATTCATGTAGCATTATTCACCACAGCTGAGATACGGAAATAGCATAAGTGTATGTGGGCAAACAAACAGATATATTCACACACAGTGTGTATCTCTCTATGTATACACATACAATGTACATATAGATATATATGTTTGTTTATATAAACTGTGATATTCAGTGATGAAAAAAGAGAAATTTTGCCTGTGTAACAGCATGGATAAATTGTAAAACATTATGCGAGGTCGAAGAACCCAGCCCTAGAAACACAAAGGGTACATGGGCTCATGGATTTATGAAATTAAAAAAGCTGAGTTCACAGAGAAAGAGGTCAGGCATTTTTTTTTTCATGTGAAGGCTGGTGCAACCTTACACCTAGACCTGTGTTTGTTTGTTTTTGATGCACAACATTGAAATCAGGAAGTACTAACTGATTTTAGTGGATTTAATTAATCACTTCTCATATATGTGCAAACATGAAGTCTGTTTTATTTTTATAATTATGGGTACATTTCTTGGTTACAAAACTCCCTGCAAATCCCCTGCCCACATGCTACAGGAAAATGAAATTGGGTCAGGTGAGATAAATTGATCCCAGGTTCACTAAGTTGTTAGTTGAACTCTGATTTGAAAATCTCCTTCATTGTCCATTTGAGTGTCTTTTTCCTCTAGGACCTTTTGATTTCACAGGACTGGACTTTAAGCTGGAGGGAGAGCAGTTCATAGGTAGAATCTAGAAAGTGTAGTGTTTGTCCCACTGTAGATGCCCTGAGGCACTAGCGGCCTTGCTCATACACATGTGGTCTGTCAGATGCTGGCAGATAGTCGGCCAGAAATGCCTTTGGCAGTGTCCTGGCATTGGTGAGCCTCTGCAGGCAAAATTTTTCCCTGTGTCCAAGCCAGCAGGCTGGTTCATGGTTCCAGGAGATCATCTCTTAGACTGGCTAACTTGACCCTTTCCAAATTATTTTTATGATCTTAATGAAAATTATAGGAATGCTCTGAATTTCTTCTAACTGAACCTTGGGAGAATTAGATGGAGCTTTATAGATCCTTATCCTCACTCTCTCCCTCTGAGTCCTTCTCTCTTGCCCAGCCTCTTACTTTAGGGGGCACCAGAGCTGATCCTACAGTCCAATAAGCTGTGGCCAGCACACCCCCTCAAGATGTGGAAGGGAAATAGGGTTCCACTTCACTTGTTTCTTAACACTTCTCTTTCTACCTCCAGTGCTCTTCAGAAAGGTCACCCACTCTAGATCTCATTTGGGATTTACTGTGAGGAGAGAAGTGTCTTTCATTTGGGACAAGTTTTTCTTTTGCTAACCTTAGTGCTTATTCTCAGATGTGAGTTGTTTCCATGAAACTGAGTCTTAGAATTGGGAACTGCCCTAAAAAATGCAGATGTAAAATTACATATCCATATCCATATATGTATATATATGTGCAGATGTAAATTATATAGGGGTGCATTATACAGTCTGCTGCATGTTCATGATGTCTATAGTTTCCTCATCAGTTATTTTTTATTTCCAGTATTCCAGAGTGAAGCCCATAGTGACACCACGTTTTTCCCTTTCCTGCTCTGAGACTCTGATGGGTGAACTTGGCAACATTGCTAAGGCCCATGAGTTGCACATTCAGGTAGGTATTGTCCTTCTGGTTGTGCCTCCGTCTAACCTGAAAGATTTCCCATTGCCAGTTCTTCTGCTGAAATCTCTTAAGAGTCGAAGCATTACAGGGCAGGAAGTGCTCAGATGTCACTTGATCCAGTTTTTTTAACTTTGCAGGTAAGAAAACTGAAATTTCTTTTATTCTCAGTGCTCTCCAGTGAGACTCCAAGAGATGAAAATACCTTTATAATCATTAGCAAAGTCAGTGATGGACTGTTTATGTATTCTCAGTATGATAACATTAAATGCATTTCTTTCCTACTTCCCTTTTATTTGATAGCTTCTCTGTGTTCTATACCCTCATTCTTGGAGGAACCAGCTGTTATTTCAAAGAACAAAAAGAACTTAATTTCTACCTTACAAAAAAATGTGCTGAAAAGCCCTTTGTTCTGAGTTTCTTAATTTAAAATCAGGATATATATAT